TCGGGTTTGGGGTTGCGGGCTCAGGGTTCAGGTATTCGGCTGCGGTAGGGCCTTAATACTTAGCATAGGGTTTTGGGGGGGTATGTTCTACTACAAGTCTGATAAGGAACGCCCAATATGGTATAGGTAATTATCAAGAACAGGGCTTTGGCGAATAATATACGATAACTATAATAAGGAAGCCCCCAAAATAGTATAGGTAATGTTCAAGGCCCCTATAGTATAGTGATTGGCTTGAGCTACCATGTCTCGCATGTCCCCAGGGTCCCTGCGCATTCTATGTTAAGGCTGGGCGTATCTGAAGACCCCTTGAAGACCAAACAGGTTGCAACTGTTGTTGGCTGGTTCGGGTGGGGTTTGGCCCTCAAGGCCTACACCTTGGGGTTAAGACAACGAAGTTTAAGTTCAGAATGTCATCATCGAATATAGGGGCCTTAGTAACTAGAATATGGTTCTGGGGCCCACTAAACTATAGTTATAGTAAGGAACCCCCAAAAGAGTATTCGTAATTATTTAGGCCCCTACATTACGGCTCCAGCAAACCATCGATCATAAGGTTTGGAGATCCGAGCTCTGGGCGCGTTCGCTTGCCGCTCCGAGTGACTCAGCATGCAAGATATGTGGGTGGTTGTCAAAATTATGGTCCCTTTTTGGGTTCTTATTATAATACGGCACCTATTATTTAGGGTACCCCAAAAGGGACCATAATTTTGACAACCACCCATGTGAGACTGCCCTACAGTCTAAACCCTGAACCCTAAACATCTATCTATCCCGAGGCCCCACCCCCAGAGCAGCAAGACAACAACAACCGTCCCAAAGCATAACTCGTTAATGAATCTCGGAGCCTAGACCGGAGGCCCTAAATGTTGCTACCGGGCCCTTGTCGATTGAAGGGCAGCTACAACGGAACTAGAGCTCAGAAGAAAGTGCACAAAACACCCTATAGCCCCTTAAAGCCCTATATCTCTGAAGCCCTAAGCCCTAAAAGCCCTCCCTAGACCCTAAAGCCTAAACCCTAAACCCTTAAAGCCCTATGACCCTAAACCTCAGCCTCAGGAGCCGTTAAAATCCGGAACCCTCCAACAGGAGAGACAAGATGCCAGCTCTTCGTCCGAGCTTGCAGTCTTCATGGTCTGCTGTACCTCAGTTCATTTGCAGGGTTTTTGTTTATTTTAGCTGTTTAGGGTTTTAGGGTTTAGGGTTGCTTTTTGTTGTTGTTTAAGGATTTTAGAGGCTTAAGGGTTTTAGGATTTAAGGGATTAGGGTTTAGAGGGCTTTGGCATGTCGCATTCCGGAACTGTAAGGCCATAAGGTTTCGGGTTTAGGGGTTGCCTTTTATTCGTTTGGGCGGGCTTTGTCCAGGGTCTAGAACCCTTCTTTGCCTTGGGGACCGAGTAGCAAGCTTTAACGATCAGTTGCCCGAACATGACTTTCGCTAATATGGATGAGGCCTTAATCCTAAACAATACTACGGACCTGAACTAAACCCTAAACCCTAAACCATAAACCGTCTACGGACCTGAACTTTACCTGGTAACCTAGAGGGTCGTGCCGGTCGTGCCCTCCCGCGCTCTTGGGGCACCGACCTGTGCCGGTTAGCAAAGTTCGTTCGCTTACACAACAAACAGCTAGCCCAAGCAAAGGCGGGGGTAGGATGGGGTAGGCTATGATTCATCCTCTTAGTAGCAGAGCCGGATTATCTTAAGACCGAAACATACTTTAGTGGCCAGCAAAAGTAAAGCCCAAGTCCTAAACGCTAAACCCTAAGCCCGAAACCCTAAACCCCAGAGCCTGAATCGCGAAACCTTGACGTCAAGGACCTCAGTTGCTCGGCCTCTGGTGGCAAAGACCCTACAAATTCTGGCCGCTTAACCCTAGTGTCCCACAAACCCCTGAAGCAGCAAAACCCTTGCCTTAAATCTTGACAGCCCGAAATCAAGCCTTATGCCCTGAACTCTGTAGTCTTAAAACCCAGAGCTAACAACAACCTCTGAACACGCACAGCGGAGCCTGTTGCCCCAAACTCTATCAGTCATCAACAGCCCGTCGATCGCCAAGATGCAAAAACGGCGTTCACCACATTGAGTACCGCGAAGCCCAAGACCTCAAGCACAGGTGTCTTGATGTTTAGGGCTTAGGGGAGTCGGGCGTCTGCGTCTCTTTTGCGTGTATGTATGTATGTATGTATGTATGTATGTATGTACAGTTAGATAGTTAGATAGATAGATAGATAGATAGATAGATAGATAAATAGATAAGTAGATAGATAGATGGATGGTGGATGGATAGATAGATCGATAGATAGATTCTGTTGGTGGCGGTTCGGCATCTTTGCTCGGATGTTGGGGCTTGAAATTTGAACCTGGTGTTCTGAATTAGCCAAGGACAGTACTGATAATCTTTCTCTTGGTTGTAAAAGACCCCTATGGACCAAATTGTTAAAACAAAACCCCAAACCCGAAACATAAGGACAGTATTGCTAAAAAGCATACCCTAAACCCCAAACCCTGAGGGCAGTATGGATAGATACATTGTCGGCCCCTTGAGTTACGAAGCACCCTAAACCCTAAACCCTAAACCCTAAACCCTAAACCCTAAACCCTAAACCCTAAACCCTAAGCCCCAAAGGTCGCAAGGTTCGGGTCCCAGAGCGTCCAAGATCCAATGATTATACGGGCCTGGGGCAGCCTTCAGCATTACCTCAGCACACCGACAACAGCCCTGGAAAGCACCAGCAAAACAATCCACGAGAAGGTATATAACAGTGAATGAAACCCTGTATCGAAGGCAGCCTGCATTCACTTCACCTTAATTCCCAACCCTAAACCTTGAAACAACTACTTTGTGGGGGAATCCTCAGTTCTCCAACCTTAAGCCCTCAGCCCGAACCCTAAAGCCACCAAACCCTAAGATGCCCTTACAGCCCTATAGTCGTAACCCAAGTAAAGCCCCCAAACCCGGAGTCTGAGTCGGCGACACATCGGTACGATAGAAAGAAAATGGAGAACCTCAGTCAACAAAGTACTTCGTTTTTTTCAGAGGATCAGACGACCGCGCATAAAAAAGAAAACGTATCATGCGAACATACGTATATGAGAACATTAATGGTAGCAATGCATGTTATTGCTGTTTATGATTATTTGTAGTATAACAGCGTCGCAGGTCTCACGTACTATATTATACTCAACCGAAGAGCTTGGCTTCAACACGAAACCCTACCTGCACGTTTAGAGTCGAGGGCTTGGCGCTTTGGGTTTAGGGCTTCTAGGGTTTAGGGTTCAAGGTTGAGGCCTCGGGGCTTTTAGGGTTCATAGTGAGTTGGGCTTGCGCATTGAAGCGTGTAGAGGTCAAGGGCTTGGGTTGAAGAGCTTATAGGGTTCAGAGTTGTGTGTTGAGGGCTTACAGCTCGCACCTTAAGATTCCCTGAGGGTCCATGTGCTCATATACATATACTTTGGCCTGTATGTAGTCCTGCTGTAGGAACCAAGTATATAGTAGATGGGCAACCCTAAACCCTGAACCCTACATGGGCACATGGACCCTTAAGATTTATTCAGAGGTTTCGGTTTGTTGAGCACGTCATCCTCCAGGCTCCTGTACCCCACATGGTATATACATCGATGTTAAGGTTACACGTAGGAAACTTCGAGGGCCATAAATACATATACGGATGTATTATAGCTCATACATAAATACATGCCACATCTGTTTACACGTATGTAAGTAAGTAACTATGTATGTAGGAAAGTATGTGTATATATATATATATGTATGTATGTATGTATGTATGTATGTATGTATGTATATATATATATATATTATAGACATATACACGTACGTGCATACTTACTATGGATGCTTAGGGAACAGCCGTCTATATACACCGTGGCATAGTTTAGCGTCTGGGTCTTTGCATTGCGCGAGAATTCTCAAAGCACGGCCCACGATTAAGTTTCAAGCTTAGGAAGTCCGTGGTGCTCATGCTTCTTCAACTCGCAAGATCTCCACTACCTACCTAGGACTTGGGAACAACAAGGGCTCTGCTTTTGGTATCGTATAGTCTTGACAGGAACCTAAGAGGAAGAAGGGCCCACTGGGAGATCCCGATCCAATTCGGCGCAGTTAAATCTTTTACATCCCCACCTCTGAACACTGCAACCTGATCCGCGACACCTTAACAAGCCTAACAATGCAACCAGGAAGCCACTCGCTCACGTTCTCGACGAGCACGCGACATGGGGGCCCCCAATTTGCGAACATGATCCTGTGTTTTTCCGGATGTTCTCGCATGTTCTCGCCATATACCCTTACTCTGTGAGTGCTTAGGGCTTGAAATTTAGGGCTTAGGCGCAGACCCTGAGTGCCAAATTGATACGCCGCTTCCCTTCACAGTGTTCTACACCATTGAAGCAGTCTGGCTGGTAACGAAAACGATGTTAATATAGGGGCCTTGATAATTAGAATTGGCTTTTGGGTATAATATACTATTCATATAATAAGGAAACCCCAAAATAGTATTGGTATTTACTACATTATTGATCAGCGGTTTAGATGTGGGAGTCTGTGGTGTTCGGTATGTGGCATTGGATTTGAGAGTTGGAGCGTAAGTCCCTTCTTAGCCTTCTGGCACCTTGGCACGGAGGGTACGTGGAGGATCAAGGCTCTCTCTCTCTCTCTCTCTCTCTGTATATATATATATATACACATGTATATAGGCGCGCCAATTATGCAAGGTCAACACTTCCTACAACTATAGTAACTGTAGCTAGCCTAATTACAACTTTAGGTAGGGCAGGGTTCAAACTCAGATACCAGAAAGCCAAAAAAGGAAAAACACGAAGTCGAAGGGTTTAGACCCCTAATCCTTGAACGCCCTAAACCCCAACAAATCCTACACCCTAAACGCTGATCCCAAACCCTATTTAGACGACTCCGTTAGGGTTGAACGGAATGCAGGGCCCGCGGGATGTGCATGATATATCATGCAAGCACAGGTGGACGCTCCTGGACTACTAGGAGTATATAGACATCTGTATACATACATATAGATGTATGTAGTAGTAGTAGTAGTAGTAGTGGTAGTAGTAGTAGTAGTAGTAGTAGTAGTAGTATCAGCAGCAGTAGTAGCAGCAGCAATACTTCGCTGACACATCAGACTGCATAAACTCTGGCCTCTGGCAGACTAAGTCTCAACCCGACACCAAGGAGCTCGAACATGGATAGAATGGTCCGGGTGAAGGTCCCGTAGTACCGGAAGACCTCGCAGAGTCCCAACTTATCCAAACCAAAATCGTAATTCTGACTATGGAAACCCTACCTTTTCTGTTTGACCACTATATAGGTATTTATAAAGACTCTTTTGGAGTTTAGAGTTGAAGGAAAGGCCAAGGTGAGGGCGCAAGAGGCTCGCGCCTGGCTCCATCTGCTGATTCGCTTGCTTGTTTCAGAACTCTCTTGGGGGATTCGCGGTGTAGGGTTTGGAGGTGTGCGGTCTGTCTGGGCTTCATGTAGGGTTCGGCATCACAAAGGTTTGACTTTCCGGGCAGATTTCTGGGAGCGAGATTGGTGCCCACTGTTCGCAACTAGCAATCGAGTCAGAATTTGTAGACGGGAACACATGCCAAGAAACCATCGAGCAGATGCACCTAGCCCGAATCGCCCTCGGACAAACTTCTGATTATTAGTGCGGCCCCTATGTCCAGAACCACCAACCAAAGCGCTGATACGGCCGTGCTTCGCAAGTTGTGCGTTTTGGAAATTCGCGATGTGAAGCCTTGGCGACCGCCTGCGCCTGAAGCATCAGCCACAAACGGCACCGAAATTACAATGTTACCTGAATGAACCCTAAACCCTAAACCTTCCTACCTAGACCCTAGACCCTAAACCTGCCTACCTAAACCTTATAAACCCTAAACCGTTGTACCTAAACCCTAAACCCTAAACCTTCCTACCCAAACCCTAGACCCTAAATCATAAACCTTCCTATCTAAACCCTAGACTCTGAACCTCAAGACCAGCGGATGTGCTGGGCGACCCAAACACTGCGGAAAGTTCGACAAGACCACGGGAACCCTGCAAAAAGTCACCCCCTCAACCCTTACATACCTAAGCGGATTTGGGACTTAGGGCTTTTCGGGTTTAGGGTTTAGGGCAAGTTTGGGGTTCAGGGTTTAGGGTTCAGGGCCTGTAACGCCTTTGCAAACCCAATAGTCAATAGGCTGCCCCAAAGCCCTGTAGAGCCCTACAAACTCCTACTACGCCAACCCTAAACCCTGAACCCCAAACTTGGCCCTAAGCCCTAAACCCGAAAAGCCCTAAGTCCCAAATCCAAAAAGACAGCAAGCCCTAAACACTAAACCCCAAAACTTGTCCGAAGACCTAGGACTCTGAACCCTCAACCCCGAAGCCCATAAGCCCTTGTCTCTAACCTTCGGCAACGAAGTAGTTCCTTTGTGGGGTTCCTACTTAGAACCCTATAAGGTATATAATCCCCAAAAGGAACTACTATGGGGCCTATGGGTAACCATCGGCAGCGAAGCCTCGCCGCGGACCTCGGGGTCATTGGACTCCTCCTCGATGAAGTCGCGGCAGAGGGTCGCGAGGACCAAACCGGCCACGCACTGCACGAACGTGAGCAGACCTGGGATACTACCATGGGTCCCCTAAAGCGGTTAAGGTTTAGGTTTTCGGGTTTAGGGTTTAGAGTTTAGGGTTTAGGGTTTAGGGTGTCCTTTAGCAAGTTTAGTAGGTAGGGTATACAAGTTTCTTTTTTTGAAACCTCCGTTCGGGGTTTCCAGCTCTGGTTTAGGGTTTAGGGTTGAGCCACAGAGGCCTCGACACTTAGAACAGTAGCGCTGCTTCCGCGGTTCTACATGGGCGCTACAAGAATCTTACACGCAAGGCGATGTAACGAATCTCTGACAGTTCGATCTCCGAGAGTTGCGGAAGTGTCGGGGGTCCATACCGCGTGAGACCCTACCTCTACTCTTAGATGCTGATCATAGGTCATAGGCCTTGGTTAAACCCTGCCAAAACCCTAGAATCCCTAAATCCGAAACCCTAAATCGTAGAGCCATGGCACAGAAGCTCCACAGGAGCATATCCCTGCTGGCGACCAGGCACTTGATCAAGAGTTGCAACCTTCCGGCGAGGATCGCGTCTGACGGCTTCAGTTCTTGGGGTTTTAGGGAGTAGGGGAGTGGAGATCGGAACCCTGAACCCAACCCTTGACCCCAGAACCCTAAACACTCAAACCCCAAACATTCATCAGTCCTAAAGAAAGATAGACCCTAAACCCAAGAACCCCCAAACCCTAAAACCCTAAACCCTAAACCCTAAACCCTAAACCCCTGAACCCCCAAACCCTAAAACCCCAAACCCCGAAAGTTAAACGTGGATCCCTGACCCGAAACTGCAGCGGTGCAGTACGTGAGCTCTCAAAAGTCGCCCAACAGCCTCCCTAAAACCCCAAAATGTAGGTTTAAGGGTTTAGGGTTTAGGGTTTAGGGTTTAAGGGTTTAAGGGTTTAGGGTTTAGGGTTTAGGGTTTAGGGTTTAGGGTTTAGGGTTTAGGGTTTAGGGTTTTTGTCAAGTGTAGTGGCCTTTTCGTCTGAGCGAGCTTTAGGGTTTAGGGCTTAGACAAACAACGCTGTTGCAGACCCCTTGAAAACTTTCTCCGATCATCGTTGTAACATCAACCCCCTTGCTGCAACAAACTTTCTAAGATAATCCTTGCAGTTGTTCCCCCATGTAACCCTAAACCCTAAATTACTAAACCCTATACCTTAAACCCTAAACCCTAAACCCTAAACCCCTAAACCCTAAACTCCTAAACCCTAAACCGCCCTCTTCAAGCCCTCAACTTCTAAACTCCCCTGGAACAAAAGCACAGCAACTAAACTCTCTGCCGAGGGACGAGTTCAGCACGCTTGACATGGTCACCATGCGGAAGGCCCGCACCAGCTTCCCAATCCGGAGGAGACCTTTTTGCGAACCATAGGGGCTTTTGAAGGCTTTAAGGGGCTATAGGGCATTGTAGGGGTTTGGGGCTTTCAGGGTGTAGGATTGTATAGGGCGTTCTGTTTAAAAGTCTGCGGTTTCAGGTTCAGGGCTTCGGGCTTTAGGTTTGGGGCCTGGGGTTTAAGAGGCTGGAGGCCGACTCCGGCGGAATATGTCCGGCTCTCGAGTTCAAGGGCTTTACGGTTTAGGGTTTAGGGTTTTAGGGTTTAGGGCTAAACCCTAAACCCTAAACCCTAAATTAGGTTCTAGGGATTAGGTTTTACTTGGGTCTTCACGATTTCAGACTTCGGCGATGCTCTAGTTTTCAGGGGGTTTAAGGCCTAATTCATAGCGCTCTGGGATTTCGGGCTTCTTTTGGGGTTTCGGCGTTATTGAATACAACCTGAGAAACTCACGGAGGTCAGTAAGAAAGCCTTTCTTTTCGGGTTTAGGGTTGAGGGAGTCAGAAGGATCTGAGGCTTCAACATCGAGACGTTAGGCTTTAAAGGTATCAGGAAATGCCTTAACCTACCATAACCTACTTTGTAGGGACCCTACAAAAGACTAGGTTTTGGTAGGTTATGGTGGGGCTTGGTTCGGGTTTACGGTTTCAGGATCTATCGGGTTGCATGCATCCCTTCTTGACTTGCGAGATGAGCATCCTTTCGCGCTCCTTCGGCGCCACAGAGGTCGTCGCAATCAGCGGCATATCCAAACTCCATGCGTTTCCGTTTCGCGCCGTGTTTACGGCGGACACGTGCGTACAGGCAGGCTTTACCATGTTGAACCGCCGGCACACTGGCCCGTCGTCAGCCTCCAGCAGCAGGAAGGAATTGTCAGCGCTGTGCCGACGCTCGGCCTCATCAGCCTGCCAAGGAGTCCTTCTTGAAGCCGCTGTCTTGTCGTTCTCGGAGTCGTAGTACAGGGACCAGTCTCGTTTCTCTCGCTCTCGCTCTCGCTCTCTCTCAAGAGGCTTTCAACGACATGATTGGTTCAGACTAAGGCTTAATGATTCGGGCTTTAGGGTTTAGGGTTTCAAGGTTCAGGTGTATTAGGGTTTAGGGCCAGAAATGTAAGGGTTGAGGGGTTTGTCTATTTGGGGCATGAGGTTCACGTTTCAAGATTTACGGCTTTGTTGCGGTTCTAGGGTTCCGGCCTTCTTTTCTGAGCTTGAGGCTTAGAGTTTCAGGATTTAGGGATAAATACGGTTTTCGGATTCTTTGCAATAGGGTTTCGGGTTTCAGACTTTAGCTAAACCCCTAAACCCTAAACCGTCTTAACCAGGGTTTGGGGTCTCAAGGCGCAGGGTTTCCGGGCTGATGGTGTAACAAATTATAAAGGACGTGCTATGCTGAGACAGATTTTGCTGGTGCCTGCTAGACTGGTACTAACACCTGGTACAACAAGATGCAAAAAGGTTAATTATGTTCATGACATTGGCTATGGTGGCAAGTGACAATCAGTTTCACATGCTTTACTGAGAGGAACTACTCAAGACACCGAACTGAGAAAACCCTTACATGCTAAAGCCCTATGCCAGAAACCCCGGATACTGGGGGACAGAATGATATTCCTGAGGGCTTCTTAGTAGAATCCGTAATATACCCCCACATCCTAGTCTACTCAAATGCCCATCTAATTTTAAACCCCTGTTCAGTAACCCGAACAGAGCCCCTTCAAAAGGAACACTCCAAGGAAGGCTATTGCCGAGCAGCGGAAAAGGATGGGACTCACCGGCAGGCCCTGACTGACGTATACGAAGGCCACTTCTGCCTCAATCAACCCTAACCCTAAACCCTAACTGTCGACCGTATGGGGTTTAGGATTCCGGGATTAGGATTCCGGCTTACAGATTTCGGATTCATGGCAAGCCCAGGGCTTCTTTTACAATCAGAGCCCCGGGATTTCTTGCATGCACCTAAAGTCTGGGAGTTAGAGGTTTTGGAGTCTGGACATGCCGAGTCGCCTCTAACCAACTAACTAACCCTAAGGGTCCATGTACTCATATAGTATATACATGGGCCCTAAAGTAACTATATAGGGACTACATTAAGGCCAATGTATATACTATATGAGCACATGGACCCTTAGGGTAACTAACTAACTGACTGCCTGACTGACTAACTGGGAAGTGTGCTTTTGTTGCTTTGCCGTCGGCACCGGAGCACGTTTCTGTTTCACTCACTCTCTGTCTTCCTGGGCTTGTGCACAGACAGCACGAAAAAACAACTGCATAATAAAACACGGTTTCCCAAACTAACTAACGAATTAACTAACTAATTAACTAACTAATAAAATGACTGACTGACTGACTGACTGACTAACTAACTAACTAACTAACTAAGTAACTAACCAACCAACCAACCAACTAACTCACTAACTGAAAAACTACCTATAGCCAGTTATCTAACCAAAAAACAAAAAACTAACTAGCTACTTAACAACTGTCCTACACAGGAAGTGCTTAGCCAAGGCCAAAAGCATGTGAGAAACATGACGCACAACACAACATGCCAAACACGGCATTGCGTCACTGCTTTCAATCCTAAGCGTTATTCCCCGTGACTGAAAACCTAAAGTGGAATTAAGCAAACAGTAAACACATAAACCCTAGAACTCCCACATCCTAAAGCCTGTGAGGTAAACAAATTAACATTAACCTTATAATCACCATCAACAACACACTCCGAATCCTAAATCCTAAAGCCTTTGAAACAAACCACAGACCGGCCAAGGACCCCTCAGGGTTGTGGCAGCACAGCTTAGGGCCAATAGCTAGTAGGGGCTAGGGGGTTTAGGGTTTCGCGTTAGGTCTGTAGCTCTACGCCCACGCCCGCTCCGGAGCTCGCGGGTTGGATGTGGGGTTCAAGCTTTGTAATTCCCTCAGGGTCCATGTGCCCAAATAGTATAAAATATACAGTGCCCTTGAACTACCTATATAGGGACTATCATTAAGGCCAAAGTCAATACTATGTGGGCACATCCCTAAACCCTAAACCCTAAACCCTAAACCCTAAACCCCTAAACCCTCAGGGGTTGGGCGGCTTTGATGTTCCCGAACCCAGGTCAAACCAAAGTCAGTTTGAGAGTGGCCATCCGCTTTATCTGCTCCGTTCCGTCCACACTACGATTCGGGGTCGATTTGGTCCCAACAACTGATCCCCAACCAAAAGGCTTTGGTGATTTAGTGGCTGAGCTGTTGAAGCTTTGGGCCCAATCAGACACAGCCTTCTTTCTGAGCTCTTTGGCACCGTAGGGGGGGAAACCTACCTGTAGTCTCCATTGTAGTTCCTTTCTGGGGGTACCTTATAAAAACCTTAATATATTATTGGTTAAACCAAAAAAAAGGAACTACAATGGAGACTATAGGTAAGCCCGAGAATCCGAAACCGCAAACCTTGAGCCAAGCAACAATGGATGTCAAACTGACAGCAAAATCGATGTAGTTGAGCCACCTGAGGAGTCTGGGCTAGGGTCCTAGTGCCTGTATAGTAGAAAGTAGGGTTTCTGTAGTAGGGGGTATTATTATGGTCTGGGTAAGTAAGTATCCCCATCTACGTACTGAGGACCTTTTGGAAGCGGCTTAAGTATTGGAATAGGGTTTAGGCTATATTCAAGTATGGCTATAGAGGAGCTCTAAAGGGGTATCCATGCTCATTAATCTCAGGCTCAAGTCAAACTCAGACAGATCACGGAAAGTTTTGAGCAGAAGTGCAACGAGCTGATAAGTTGGGTGTCCGCTTGCGGCCTAGCACTTTGTGATGTGTTGATCCAAGAAGCAATAGGTCATTGAAGCCCGGGCAGCTTGTATTTCTAACAACTACGGGCGGGAAGAGTGCTACGTCCTGAATGCTAGACTCCGAGTGGGGGACAGGGTCAGACCGCAACAGCGAGAGTCTTTCGAGCATGGCGGCTTTGCTAAGCGTATGCTGCAAACCACACAAGCCCTGAACACTATGGTTTCTTAGAAGCCCTCTTACGGCACAGCCCCTAATTCCTAAACCTTGAACCATAAACCTTGAAGGGCCACAAGGCATGGCTTCTTCTTGCACTGCCAAGGAAAGCCCCTCACTTGTAGACCACAAGACTTCATGATCAGAATAGGGCTTTAGGGGGTGGCTCATGCTGTTGATGACATGAATCCTGCATTGCCGTAAGCACCCTAAACTATGAGAACTACGGTATATTCCTCATTATGGGTAATGCAGGATTTGTATCATCACCGTACTTAGTATACGTCCATAGGGACAATAGCGCAAACGCATTGCTGTCTGGTATTCACCCATCGATAAGCCCAACATGTACATTTTGACAACCCCCTGAAAGTGAACGTCATAAGCGAGCCCGCAAGAGGTTCCTTGGATGTCAGACGAAGCCCTGTTCCGAAAAAAAAACAAAGATTGCACGTCCACACATGTATATAGATAGACACGCAGACAGATGCATAGATAGATATATACATAGAAAGATAAATAGATAGTCTGACCCAAAACGGCGTAGCAATTACAAGGCTTATAAGGACTTCGCTGTCCGCAAACCCAAAGCAGCAAGGCATTTGGATTTAACGTGATGTAGGGGCCTTAATCATAAGAATAAGGGTTTGGGGTATACTATAAAAACTATTACTGATGATGATTCCGTGCTTTTGTGGCACACGCGTGGGAGAAAGCTTCTTGTTGACCGCAGATACCCTTAGTATCTGCTGCTGCTGATTCCCCTTGTGGCTTAGTCCTGCCTGCCTTTTCGGTTTGCCGCTTCCCTTAGCATTGTTGGGCTTTGCTTGCGTGGCCAGACTGGCCTTTAATTCGCCTACTTCGATGACGGCGAGTTCACAGCGTGGGACTTCATCGTCTTCAAGACTATATATATATATATAAACAACCATATTAAAAATATGAGTTTCAGGAACCCTAACAGTAACGTTGGAATTATTGTTAGGCTTCGATACTACCTGCATAGACCTGAGCCCGCTGCACTCTCCAGA